TCCACGAGAAAGGACATTGGAATATTACCAGTATCTACTGCAAAGAAACAAAATAAGCATTGTACCACTTTTGAAGAATTTATTTATATTCTATGCAATTTGCACCTGCGCGGCTGCGCATCTAGCAAATTTGTGTTTATATTGTCCGGTGTGTATTCTTGATTTTGTTTTTATCGATATAGTAGGTCTCTTGGCCATTTTCTTCTTAATCTGCGTTGATCAGGTAACAGGGAACAGGCAATAAAAAAAACTAGAGGATTGGAGTGATTTTGGGTTGAAGAATGAAATGTACTATATTTGTCGTGGATGTAGGATTTTACTGATGGGGAGTTTGAATCGTTATGCATAGCATTATTTGAAATATACCAAGGTGCGTTAATAATTTTTCGAAAAATTTTCGATTGAGCTGTTTGTATTTTGTTTATGTGTGTTTGTTTTGCCGAATCCCAGAGTTCTGCTCCATATGTCCATATTGGTCTCAGTAAGGTGTTGTAGATCTGAAGTCCAGAAGATGTGAAAGTTAGCTATATCGTCTTGTACGTTGTTGTCTTTTTAATTTCGTATGAATGTTCCATGTAAGTCTTTTGTCTAAGTAGAATCCAAGATGCCATACATAGTTCTTTGAAGGCACTGGGTTATTGGCAATCGTTATAAAGATATGATCGGTATCCATGCTCAACCATCTGGTTCATAAACCAATCTAATAAGAAGCTAGATAACATCTGCATTAGGAATGTGGAGTTTATCATGACCCAATATTTGATCAATGGATGATATAAATAAACAGCCGCGGATGAACCCTAACCCGAAACTGGGAGTAAAAAATAGCAGCATTTTACTTTACCCACTGTTCTATACAGAAACACAATACAGAAAAAAAAATGCATACTTTTTGAGTTATTCGCAAATAAAGTTTCTTTTCCTTCATATTTTTTTTCCAGAAATTTGGGGGGGGATGGAGGTAGGACTATTTTTCGCATGTGAAGGAGAGGTCAATCATTGGATTTGATGAAGAATTGACGAAGTTACCGACAAAAAAGCCCGTATAGTCTAAAAGGCGAGGTAAGGAAGAACAGAAAAAAAAACCACCTTTTAGAAATAATATATAAGATTTTTATCCTGAAATAAATTTCTTACTGATGATGCAAATACAAAAGATAAATAGTTAGGTTTAAAAATCTTTACACTATATCCATATTGTAGACATTGAAGGAAGCTAGTCGACTGTTCTAGATATTATTGGTCATAAATATTCAGGACAGAGCCTTTCAAAAAAAAAAAAAATTTTTTTATTTGCGCCAACGTTTCAACTCAAACATGTGGGTCATCTTCAGGGCTGAAAATTTTAAAAAACAATCAGAGATATAATATTATACGACGGATAATGGTAAATAATAAAATATAGTGATTTGATGGTACACGAATCTTAACTATTATTACAATATACAATATTAAAAATGAAATATGTAAAAAAGTTATACAAACTGAAAATAATATATATAATTTATTTATAAGAATTTGTAATATTTTCTCTAAACGTTGGGACAAATAAAAAATTATTTTTGTTTTTTAAAAGACTGCGTCCTGAATATTTATCACCCTTCATATTGTAAACAGTTGTAGCAATGGCCATTTTTTTTTCTCTCCCATTTTCTTTTCTTCTTGATTCAATTTTATATTGGCTCTTATATCTTATCTTTTATAATTTTTCTAATACTCAAATTAGCCGTTTAAAAAAAATAATATTAGCATGAAAAATTATAAAACGCTACCTTAAGGAAAAAAATTATATACAATTATTGAATTGTTGAAATTGAAAGTTGAAATACCATTCATTTAAAACGTGGAAACAGAATGGACGATATCTTAAAATGTCAATTAAAATAAAAGATTTTAATTTTGATGTATTTCAAGTATAAAATAGATATTGCAAAAAAATATTGTATGTACAATTTATGTATCTGTATTTAATAAGCTGTCATCAGGTGTTCCGTTTGTTACCGCAACAAATCAATCAAATGAAAACGGGTATTAGGAACAATTTTCTTGAGAATTTCGAAGGGTGAAAGTAGCGTGTTTGAGAGCGATTCATAAAGGAGCTGGTGTAATGAACACTTTTACCAGTGATTGTCCCGAACGATTATGAGGAACAAGGCCGGAATTATTATTTTTGTTTTTTAATTTTATTTTTCCGCCTCTTCTTACATTCCTCTTCATCCTCAACAAATGTCGCCCTTTTTTTTATGTGATAAATTTCAAAATAAATATACCATGCAACATAGAATAAGCTCATTTTTCATTTACTGAATTGAGGCCAAAACTATCAAGATGCAGAAACAAATATTTTTATTGGAACTAAAAATACAATTTCGTTCGAACTTTACATCTTTACATCTTCGTTCGAAACATACATGGCTCCTACCTCCACCTTTGTTCCACAATAATTCCAGCCATGTAAGGGAAAACCGCTCTGTCAAGGAATCGGATCGGAATTATTAACTCACAGCTAGTTCCTTGAACTTAAGATTCTGTTACAACGGCGTCCCCAGAGCGGTCCACTCTGGATCTCACTTACCAACGGAGCCCCAAAGCCGGCATTAAAAAAAAAAAAATATGATACTTCGCTCAGACGATACTTTTTTTGTTGAATTTTCTCTTTCAGAATTTATTTAATTAATCGTATTAACACATATAAAGTATAGTAGTAAGATATTAACTATTTTAAGCAAAGAACAGGGAAGAATATGCGTCCAGTCCTCACCCCTCCCTTCCTCCCTAATATTTGAAATATCCCATTGGTCCCACCATTATTTTGTAGAGATTTGAGAAACTCCACCTAGTATCTGATAATTCACTGTTTTTTGCAGTTCAAACCTTTGTTAAAAATAGGAATCTATCTAGTTTTGCGGGCGATTTGTAAAATAGATCAACATTGTTTGCAATTGTTTGAAACGTCGTAACAACTATGTTTATTTATAAAAACCGATGTTTCAGCTATCTTAGGATTTACTATAAGCACCTAATTCTGCCCAGCACATACCGTTAGGTTCGAACAAAAATACGGGCAAACCACCAGTAGATATAAAAAATCTGGTGTGTCCACTCACACGACTTTTCTACCTATTTCAGAAAAGTTTTTATATCTTTACATATATTCGTGAACAAACAAAAAAGAATTGAACTAAATTTATTTTCCTGAAAATTGATCAAACAAAAGATTTGAGTACGATTTGTTTGATAAACTAAAGCAATGTAAACCGGCTTAAGGTAGATCAGTGTAAAAATTTCAATACTCACTAATATTGCTGATTAAAAACTTTTTGCCATAGCTTAGTATTGCCAAACAATAATTTCTGTTAAAAGTAGAGGAAATAGTGAAGATTGTGTGATGAGGGCAGATTTTCTAACTTTCACTTAGTCATCTTTATTCTCTCATTCACCTCTTTCTGACATCAGGAAATGAACTCGTAATCTTTCATTGGAAATTGAATAGGAGTAACTTCGTAAATAGTTGTCCAAAATGAACGATTTTTATATGGATTTGTAGGGAATTTCATTACCTTTCAAATCATAGGCTTGAGAAAATCTTGGCACAGACAGATAGACCAATGGCTAAAACTGTGTTTTTCGGACTCAGGAGGCTGTGAAACGTATAGATCCGTCGAAAACCGCATGTCGGAAGTTTGACCCGATTGCAATACTTTCCTTACATAGTATAGGTAGGAAAGTAATAATGTGTAGCAAAGTTTAAAAAATGTGTAAAAAATATAATAAGCTGCATCATCACTAATACTGGTTCGATTCCGATGATTTTTTTTTTTTGTTTTGCTGGTAATTTAAATACCTTGCAAAAGTTTTATTATAAATTTTACCGTGTAATATATACTTAGGGAGTTAGGCCTCATGACATTTTTCTTTTCTTTATAACTTTTTTTTCTGATTTTTTTCGGGAATTTAGTCTAAATATGAAAATTGAAAGGACAATGATTAAGACATCATAGAAAAGTTCCATCAAAATCGTTAGAGCCGTTTTCGCGCTACAGTCTATAGAAAAACATGTTTTTTATTTAACGAATTTCTGTCACAGGCATCAGTAGTTAAAATCCTACAAAATAAAAAAAGAAGCAACAAAATTCGGTTCAGTAGTTCCCGAGAAAATCTTGGCACAGACAAACAGACAGACCAATAGCTAAAAATGTGTTTTTTAGACTCAGGGGGCTGTGAAACATATGGATCCGTCGAAAACCGCATGTCGGAAATTTGACCCGATTTCAATACTTTCCTTACCTAGTATAGGTAGGAAAGTAAAAAAGATGGTTTTCATTTATTCTCCTATTATCACACACCAAAGCATTATTAATACGATATTAAGTTAAAAATTGCTGTGCACGACGCGAAACGATGCTACTTTGTCACTAGTACAGTCAAAGTTCCAAATTTGAACTTTTGTTTTTTCTCTTAATGTCCAACAGTAGCATTAGCTCGCCCCAGTGTGGGCCGTCAAGAAATGAAAATTAACCGACCCAGGTGGGAATCAAACCCACAACGTTCAAAACGGGGCACTCTGGGTCCCACGCCGTATATGGTCATTAATTCCTAACAAACACCATTAGAAATACCTTCTTCACATGCACATGGCAACTATGAACTTTTTAAAAGGTCTACAAACTCATGAAAATTCCTGCGACGGCCTGTCCCCGGTCGTGAAGAACTCTTCCCCTCGGAACAGTGATGCCATCAAGAAAGGCCTACCCCCCCTGACCTTAACACACCCCCAACACATAGGATGCGAGTCCTGGCATTTTGTGTGCGTGGTACCGTCCATGACATTAGAGCCCAGGGGTGAAAGGTACGATGCTTCCAATGACTACTCCCTCCGGTCCAGTGGTGACTACTCCTCCGCCAGATGAACACTTCCAAAACCACGGGCTCTTTACATCCTCTCAGTCCTGCCAACTTACAGGTTACTATTCTTACCATCCTTTACTAAAACGATGAATATGCACTTGATACGATTTAGACATCAAAATTTCCCAGTATGCAAAGGAAATGTGTTTTTTAATTTTTCTTACTATGTTATTCTGCCATCAATTCACTATGTCTTCACGAGTTTAAACACTCTGGATAATTACTGATTGATAATTCTTAAATTATAGGTAATTAATTAATTTATTAATTAATTTATTAATTTTTATTAAAATGATTTCAATGATAAAAACACTTAAACTATTTGACTGATACCAGGCAGAAAAACTGCAGAAGTTCGTTATTCGAAAATTCTGACTCATAGTAAGATTTTAATTTTTTTTTTTCTGTTTTAGTAGTTATATTTTCGATTCCATTTATGAAGTTGATAAGTTCATTACTTTGTATTTTAGAATCTTGGTAAATATTTTTCTGGAATAATCATCAACTCTCATAAAAACGTAACATGGTCCGCTAATCGATTGAACCTCAATTTGAACTTTCAAATCTATATGGATTAGCTCCAGAATTCTAGTCGAGTGCTTACCATAGATTTTCTCGAGGAGCTTTGATTTAATTCACGATTCACAAATTCAACAGAATCATTCTTCAAAAAAATTATATTTTTAATTAAATTTTGTTTCTCCCTGAAGGGTTGAATATTTTTCGTTTAAATGCCCTAAACGCTTAAATGGTTTTTGAAGTTACTAGCAGAATCGACATTGTTTACTCAGTTTGGTCAATACGATAAAGATCACAAATTTTCTTTGCTACAGGAACAAGTCTGTCTCACTTTTAATATATGCCTTCGATTCTGTAAAAAAAACGTCATTTTCAATGACTGTTAACGCTACATAAATAAATAAATGGACTACTGAAGGCCTCTTAACCATGTTATATTTTTTTTAATGCCAACGATGCCAACAGCTTCAGTCTAATAATTATTGGGTAAACCCTAGTAAATGAAAAGAGCTTTAGCCGATTCGATGACAGTAAGACCGTCACGCACTAGTGGATTCAGGATTTCATTTGGTGGGGGGGGAGGACTTTAACCCGAAATCTTTTTTTTTTCAAATATAACGATAATTACTTTGAAAGAAAAATAAAGAAACTAACTACCCATACGAAATAGTGTTTAAGTGATTCCTGAAGTACTATTAAATGTAATTACTGGAACAATAATAGATAGATAATTTTTAAATACTTTTTTTCAATAAAACATGGTTACATTTTATCATTTTGAGAGGGGGACTTCAGCCCGAAACGGAAATACATTTTGATAATTGAACATACATTCGATATATATTCCGTACTAGAAATAACTTTCTATGGTTTAAGGTTATCAGCAGAAGAGAAAAAATAATAAGACTGAGAAGAAAAGATGACGAAATATATTTACTAGACAAAAAATATTTATGCTTATTAGATAAAAGATGTTTATTAGATCATATTCGAAAAAGTTCACATAAAAAAAATTAAATATATAAGTTTAACACAGATATGATTGACAACCATTGTACATTGGACATCATAAAACGTTTTGTCGAGATTCCTGGAAGTATTCTATTTATTTAATGAATTCCATTGCTGAAATAATCTGGAGTTAGATTTAATTTAGTAATATCATCTAGTAGTTCATTTTATTTTAATAATTAGAACCATTTCTCTAGAACCTTAGTATAGAAGTTCACAAAACAGATCCATTAGTCAAACTTTCTTTTATTTCAGTAATAAATTCCTTTCCGATTCAAGAGACTTATAAATCGATGCTAATAAATTCAATCCATTTACTTTTTATTTTTTTCTCTTTTATAACTCTAATTCGTCAAATTAAAGTTCGAAAAACTGGCCGATGGAATCCTTTATTCGATACAGTCCAGTCCTAATTAACCATAATGGGCTTTGAAACTGATAAAAATGGACAATTTTTTAGTCAATTTAAAGTTTACGGGGCACATAACTATGGCCTGAATTATCAAACGAGTTACAATATCGAGCACCAAAAATGGAGAGATAAGCAGTGACGGATGTTTTTATTTTCAAAAGCTGTTTTATGGAGTCGGCCAATAACTTTCTTTCCGTGAGAATTCGGCTATCTTTTAATCTACCTATCTTTGTGTACAATGATATTTGAAATTGGGAGAATTTTAGAATATTGATAATTACAACGGTCTCATTTTATCTGGTAAATAAAGACTGTGATGTCAGATAGAAATTCTTATTCAATAATCGAATTCCATGGAAAAGGAAGAAGTACTTAACTTGATTTGCAACCTCTTTGGTGAAGATTATACAGCATGTGATTCATCATGCTCGCCTACACACTCCATAAAGCTCAATTGTTACATCTTTCTTGGGCTTTAAATCTGTTGTGCCATAATGGTGATAAACTATACACCAACCATGGACGAACCAAAGTGTGGGTGAACTCTCTTTCATTCCTACACCCACGAATTCACTCCAGTTGGAACAATTAGAAAGTTCAGCTCTTCAATATTAAGGCTCATGCATTAAAATAAATAAAATATCTAGTTCCTAAGAGAAATATTTGTAGTGAATGAGAATAATTAATTTTAGCCTATTAATAAAGCAACTGAATTGTATTGATGCACATTAAATGAAATAAATTTCAATTATTACTTAATATAAAACAGCTTAAAAAATAAATTAAAATTTTTGGTTGAAGATGGTATCACTGCTCTGAGGTGCCAAACCTCTGAGCCCAGTGGATATTGGAAGATTTCCAAACTAAGTCTCAAGTCTACCAAATACTAATAAAAACATAACATCACATAAATTCAGCTCAGCAACAACAACCTCACATTGACAGACGAAAAAAAGACTAACCAAGTAGAGATAGTACTACATCACTGCAATACTTTTCAAAATATTCTTAAAGTTTATATAAACAATAAGTAAGTTAAATAATATATTCAAACAGTAAATAACTTAAAAACAATAAGTGTATGTTAAATGTGTTTGGGGTGATATGCTAATTCTATTTAGTTAGTCTTTCTATTATAATCTTGATATGAGGTATACCAGGGCTGCCCAGAAGGGGGTTCATGGGGTAAATTGCAACATCAAAATTTTTGAGGGAGCACATTTTGATGAGGTTATGGACTTTCAAATGAAAAATTTCAAATCAGGGAACAAGGAAAAAACATTGCACAAACCACAGCAAGAGGAATGTTACACGATCTATTTTTCTACTTCTACTTTCACTTGCATTAGTTTTAAGAAGAGTATTTAATGTTTTGTTTTTTTTAATTTCTGGTTTCATTTATCAGTTAATTTTTCTGTTTTGTTTACAGAGAACCCGTACTGATGCGGTTTATAAAATAGAAGCTGTTGGAGGCCGAGACAGTGTAAAGAATATTTTTACATGGAAAGTTTTAAGATGGGTTCTAATTCCATCCATGATTCTTCTCCTCCTAGGAACAGCTGTATACACAATAATTTGTAAGTTACTGAAATGTCCAAATATTTATTACATCAAGTATTAAAAAATACGTAATTAAAATTATTATATTTTTATTACAGGGGCTAGCCAGGAAGAACCCAAGCTAATTGTGAATACCAACGAGACAAATGAAGGTTTACTGTTTGATCTAGGAGTCGAATCAAGTTATGGACAATTGCCTGGTAACTATATAATATTAATTAAATTTGAAATATATGCCTAATATAAATATTTTATTTGCATAATAAAGCATATATTTTAATTTCTATTTAATTGGTTGTAGGTAAACCACCTCAGGATCCCCCTCCAGAGGTAACAGAACCTCCCAATGACTTGCTTACAAGTGACATGGATGAATTCGATGGCAATGATACTGACAGCTACATGAAAGAAGAAGTTTCATTTATCGACCGACTGATTTCAAGCTTTCAAGAGAATTCCAAAAAGCAAGGAACACCCCACGAAGGATTAAGTGTCAAACAGTTCACGAGCCTTGGAGAAACTGGGTATAGAAGGATACCGAATGGCCACAAATATGGAGAATATCAGGTAAAATTATGAAACTTAGTTCATATAATTTTTTTTATTTTACAATTTGATATAAAAATTTAAAACTGGTCCATTTATTGATAATAATTTAGTAAATGTTTTTCAACTAGACTAATTTCCCTCACTTAATAAAATTAACGTAATTTTTTTTTTCTTTTTTTTAGTTTCAATTCTTAAGTCTTCTAAATGTTTCTGTATTAAATCTTAAGCCTATGTATTATCTATGTATTCTGTATTACATATTAAGTCTTACAATTCTAAATATTTCCTATTCAAAACAGTCACTTCCAACAATGACAAAGTATTTGGAAAGGAGTACAACAGTTCTACCAGTATCGCCCACTCTCCCAAGTCTCCAACCTAAAGGTGCTCCGACCCCCACACAGCCACCATTCAATTATTCAGAAAGTAAGTGATATTTCTTCATTTTATTTTCAGATTTCAATTCAAATTATTCAAATCCAATCAAAAGTAGGCCATATTTATAAATGACAAATAATAGTTGATAGTAAATTCAAGATACTTTCTTAGCCAAGGATCAATTAAAGTTATATAACAAAAGAAAATATCATTGTAGTTTTTAAAAATTAAATTAACCAATTTTTTTACCAAATTGTGTATCACGTAGATTCTTAAAATTAAGTCTACAGATGTAGTCATTACATAAATATTATATTAACTTTACATCCCCCAATTTATAACTCATTTAATTAAAATTTTCCTTTGGAATTAAGTAGTCATTAACAAAATTAGTCTGTCAACATAAAATGCCTAATGTGATGGGTTCACAAAAAAAAAAACTATTCAAGAGGAGGTCCTGTAACTAAATTAGTTAGTGAGCTAGTGGTATGGATCTTCAACAGAACTAAATAATAAAGCCCTGCAGAACTAACAAATTCATGACGGAAAACTTTCGAGCTGAAGCTCTCTCCTCTTCCTCCAAAATAAAAAATTCCTTTTTTTTTTTTTCATTAGTTCATACTTGTTTCTATGAGTGATCTGAGGCAAATAATTCAACAATTGCAATATATTCTCTTTTAAAATTAAAACAAATGTGCTTCAGCTCCTAATAAAAAAATAAGTACTAATAAAAAAAAAAATACAAAACTTATATTCCAAAAACATTATTATTCCTGTAATAACTGTTTAATCAGTTTAATTATCCTACAATCAAAACATTTAACATAAAAAAAAAAATACCTTCAAGAAAAAGAATAACAAGTAAATATTTGGTTTTCAACCTAATATTTTTAGTACTAATAAATTCAGCATAATTAATCAGAAGAAATTGATTATAATAATAATAATATTATTGTGTACTTCAGAACCTCAGAGTTTCATAAAAAGACTAATAAAATAAACAAATAGAAATATTAAAAAACTATAAGTTAACTTTTAACATTAATGAATTTAAAAAAATAATACTTAAAAATAAACTAATAATTTATATATATATATTTACAGAAAAAGCTATTTGCAACTTTTTCTTATTTTTTGGGAACTTCTTTGATAGTAATTGATTTAATTGGCAGGATTTAAAGGTGGGTAGTGTATTGCAGTAACAGATGTAGGAGGGGATGGAATTCCATAGAGACAATAATCAAATAATGAAAGATCTGACAAAAGCTCTGGTTCAGTGATCTATGGTAAATAAATCTGTAGACCGGTAATGGGTATTGCGGTAGTGAACAGAGGATTTGAATTGAAAGAGCTTGGAACTGTATGAGGGATAGTGAGATTGGATTTCTTTATAGAGGAAGGATGCCACGAAATATTTATGATCGAAGGATCAAGCCATTACAGCTCTTCATAAAAGCAGGAGATAGAGGTATTATAGAGACACCTAAGAGTGTAAATAAAACATGAAGCTAAAGTTGTATATTTAGAATAATTTATACAGTTTTATTTTACCAATCATGTCTGTTAAATAAATCATACTATGGATATTAAATGAATAGAAATTGATTTCTTATTTAATTATTACTTTATGCCCCCTTTTTTTTTATATTAAAAAGAATGGTTCTTTACTCAAATATATTTATCTACGCAAGTAATAAGTAGTTTTCAATGATAAAATGATCATTTTATTGGACAATATTATTTTTATATGGCATCTTGTAATAAGAGAACAATGAATATTGTTTATTTCATAACATATTAAACAAATAAGACATGCTATATATTTACAGGTAACTGTCACTCACCTCAGCTCTCCATGTGTCGAGGAATAATTCCATGGGATCTAACAACAGTGCCGAACCTACCAGGTATCACATCAATGACTTCGCTTCAAGAAGCTATGCCGTACTTTGAGTTGGTACTCGAGTCAGGTTGTAGCCCGCGTGCGAGAGGTTTTCTCTGTTCTTTGCTTGAACCAGAATGTCAGCCCATCGGTAGGACTGTCATACCACCTTGTCGAAAGGCCTGTAAAGGTAAATTATATCTGTTAAACTCCTATCAACCATAAATTAAAGTTGTGCTAATATTAAAAAAAGACCATGTGGAATTTATTGCTTGGTCATATTGATGATAAATAATTTAAAGGTTATAACTAATTAGCATCTGATGAAAAGTATCAAAGACCATATCTCAAATCAACCATATCTATTTGTGATAAATAAATGACCACCTACAGTTTAGATACTTTTTCTTTAAGCTGTTGCTGAGGAATGCAGTGATTTTATTTTGGACATTCTGGATTTATCAAAAGTATTTCAATGCGACAGCTATCCAGATTCTGATAATCCAGCTGAGTGTGTCAACTTTGCAAAAGGTAAGTATTTTCATCCATGAATCAGAATCAGAAAGAATGGCTAATTTCTTATCATTCAATATTTTTTTTTAGGAGATAAATGTCTACCAAAAGAAATGAGCTGTGATGATGGCACGTGTATTCCAAAGCGATGGAAATGTAATGGCATAAAGGATTGCAGTAATGAAGTCGATGAAACAAACTGTACTATATGTAATAGACACCAGTTTGCGTAAGTTTCTAATGATCTAATAGCATGTATCTGACTAATAAAAAATCATTAATCCCATCATTTATGGTTAATATAATTTGTAATTGGCAAAATAGTCTCTGGATGTTGTAGTTGTATTTATAGTGGAGTATCTATATCCTTAATCAATTCAATTCCTAAAACATAATCTGAATTGAGCTAAAAGTAAAAAAATTAATTCGTTCAATCTCACGAGTGTCTGGTTAAATTTATAACATTTTTTTTTATCAGCCATATGTAAGCTTTCTATCCTTGTAAATTGTTTAAGTATAATTTAGGTTTCAAAGTTATTCTAAAATTTTTAATTTTATTTCTGGATGTCTAGAGAAAATGAAAAAAAAAAAAATATATAAGTTCTTAATTTATATTTTAGTAATTTCATTTGCAGGAAATTATTTTTTCTTTAAACCTTATAATTGATAAAACATTTTATAATTCTCTAAAGATAGATTGGCAGAAAATAAAACAAAAAATAAATTTCAAATCTAAGATCTAATAAAGATAATATTTGATCTTTTATGTGGAAATATTTAATTAAATATAGAAGTTAATTTTTTTTTTTTTTTTTAACATTTTATTGAGAAATATTACAATCTGTCTCAATTAAAGATATTTATAATAGAGTTCAGAGAGTACATTCATACAGTATATACATAAACATAAATAAATAAATAATATATATATATATATATATATATATATATATACATATATATATATATAATATATATATATATATATATATATATAAACACAAGTAAGTAAAAATAGAAATAAAAGTAAAACAAACATCTTAGATACAAACATACCTATATACACTAATAGAAGTTATTAAAGACAAAACAATATCTCCATCAAGTTAGAGAATTAAACCTTTGTTTTTTTTTTAATATCGTTGTTTTTAGTCAGATATATTTTTAAATAATAATCAATTTACACAAAAATAATTTATGCTTGACAGATGTGAAAGTAAAGATGCCTGTATACCTTTGGAATGGAAATGTGATGGAAATGAAGATTGTCCTGATAAATCAGATGAAAATAACTGCCACAGTGAAGAAGGTATGTAATATGCATATATACATATACAATATATACTCATACACATACAATATTTACAAGAATAAACTCACTCCCTCAAACCTTTACAGTTCATAAGCGTTGTATAAAGTATTTTACAGTCAGGTTAGAATTATGACTAAATATCTCATTAATGTTAATGAGAAAATTTTAATGAATCTTTAGATGATGAATCTCACTGAATTTGCAACTACTAAATTTAATTATTTTTTATGATATATGAGTTTATTTTTAGTCTACAGAAGTAATAACTATTTTGACTGCAAAAAAAAAAAAGATGAAATGTGCACTTTCACAAACTATGAGGGTATTGGGTTCAATACAAGATATTCCAACTATAATACTATCAAGTTTACCACACCATTTATCTATTTTTTTTTTATGAATAATCTTGTCTCCGCATTGCAAAAACTAATGTTTAACAGAGAGTTGGCCAATCCATGGGTAATAAAACAGAAAATAAATGTCTTCATGTAGAGAATTGAAATCTAATCGAGGAAGTTATGAGTCTAACTGTCTTGTTCCTAATTTTTAATATATATAAATAATTTTTTTTTTAAATTATATCCTTGGTAAGATGAAAAATTTATAAAGCTAGTCATTCACACTAAGTCGACATGGAGACAAGGCACAGTATTGTGCACCAATTATATTAGTTTATTGCATAAGTCACTGCACCCTCCACACTGAATTAGAGGACGAAGCCTTTAGGTAAGAATTTTCATTATTTTCTGGATAAATGATTGTTCTAATTTTCCTATTTAAAAATAAAATTAATTTGTTCTCGATAAAATATTCTCTCTAAATAATAAACCATAATAGATTGTTCTAGCCCATAAAATAGTTAGAATTATAATTCTGAACAAAAATTATTATTATGCATGAGATAAATTTTGTTAAAAAGTAGTTCTTCAGCATGGTGCGCCTTCCTCTGCATTGATCTAGTGGACGACTAGCTCAAGTCATAAATTAATTTGTACTTTTTGATTTTATTTAAGAAGATCTTGACTTAATAATTTATTTATAAATGATCCTGATTACAGATATGGTAATGCATTCACATGCATCACCTTGTCCATCAGGAGAACTACGTTGCGTAGATGGGCGTTGCATTACAGTTCAGCAAATATGTAATGGAAACAAAGACTGCTCTGATGGGGCCGATGAGGCTAACTGTCCATTACCTTTCACGTGATTCAGTTTATGAAGTCGCAGTACCAAGTGCCAAAAGCAAAATTTTTCAAGATATTATTATAATTTTTTTTTTTGTCTCCTCGAAAGACAAACTTAATACTGTGACATGTCGGAAGCAATGAAGTAGAATGACAAAGTTGTGCTCCGATTGGTTGTTTTGTATTATATGGATTCCTAGTTTTTTAATTAAAATGTATGTTAATTAGAGCAAATAATTTGTATCAATGCTTTGTATATTTTGTTTTAGTCATTGTAAAGTGTGTAAAATTTCTGGTTGACCCTCTGGGTAGCCTGGGAATGAGATAACAAGAAGTTAAACTTATAAGTGAGTTACTCTTTGTGAAATTTTGTAAAAAAATTTGTATATTATCTGAAGAAAGAAATTCATGCCAATTTAATGTATGAAATGGTATTAAGTGAACCATTATTAATTTTGTTAGATTTTTTAAAAGAAAAATCTTAATGCAAAAACTTTGTAACAAGCCAAAGCTCATTATGACCAAACGTTTACATAATGTGAATAATTCAAACAAGGATTTAGTATCAAGTAGTTGTTTGAAAGATTTTATTATCATAACTAATAAAAAAATACTAATTGTCATTTTTTTTAAAAGACCTAGTAGATTATAAAAAAAATATTCTTGTATAGTACTACTTTCCTTCCCAGGTTTAGATAACATTTAGTAAGTAAATGATCAAAATTATGATCACACGTGTACTTGATTGTTTTATACTGAAACAAGCAAAATTGTGTATATTTTTTTCTATTTATATTTTTTTAATAATTTTGTTAACCAAACTGTATAGTAGTTATATACTGTTAAATACATTTTTTTTTATATATAAAAGCAAAATTTTATTTTCCTAATTACTATCTAAAATTTTAAGATAACAGAAACAAGACTGGTTGGATTGGCAATAAAAAAATAAGTAAATTAATAAAAAATAAGTTTCATTAACATTTAACTGACTACCGAAAATTGAATATGTATTTTATGATATGTTATTTGCTGAATTTAAATATTTAATTTCAAAATTGTCAATTTGATTTTAGATTTTTAGAATATCTACTTGCACATTCTAAAAATTTATAATTCATTCATTTTATTTTTCTGCTGCCTTAACCAGCCTTCTTCATCCCTGCCCTATTTTGAGCTATTTCTTTCCAGTTATCTGAATGCAGCTCTGTTCCATCTTTATTTATTTATTGAAGCTCTTCTGTGCCTTTGAGGCAATACGGGTTTTGCAGAATGGAGTGTTATATGTTAATGACTTCATCATTACGCAAAACTTCCTACTCCTGCATGAAACTCAAATTAGTTTGCTGTTTGTTATTATCTTAGATTAAATTAAATTAGAATAAACAGATTTAAGATTATATTTGGGCAAAACTTTATTCATATTGTATTATATTAACTTTATGCATATTGTACAAAGAAATAGGTAAAGATTTTAATATATCAATAAGTCTCTACGTAGACTTCCTATGGAGTATTGGTCAAAGAATAAGCCAGCATCAAAAAGACATATAATGCAAGTTATCATTTTAGAGAAAGTTCAACAGCTTAAAGATTAAATAAATTTGCTCCCTGCTCAGAGGGAACCACTTTCACTAATACCATCTCAGTTCCCTGTAAAAATAGCATCATATAACCTCAATATTATTAAAACTATTAAAAAAGAAGAGGTCATACCAGAACAACTAAGATAATTGGCTCTTGAAACGATTGCTGAGGGTTATCCCAGCCCTCCATAGATTCATGTGTATACTGATGGGTCTGCCGAACCAGCAACACACAATGGAGGAGCAGGTGCATGCTCTCAACTATTTGCTATTTTAAAACCTGCTGGCAAATGGACCTCAAATTTTCACAACAAAATCAAAGCAATTTTATTGGCTTGATAAAGCGAAGCATAATTTTAAAAAAAAGATTCTAATATAGCACAATTTATTCTGTGATGATAGAGAAATTTTTGACTGTTGATTTTTAGAAAAGAAATTCGCAATAGATTGCAGTCATTGATAGTATACAAAAATAAATATAATTTATTAAATTCAATTATTATAATAATACCCAACCAACTTCTAACAAGAGTGTTACACAAAGCATACTATGAAAATTAAAATTATTATTTAGTAAAAATTTTTCCCAATAAGTATGTCACAGCAAAAAATGTTCAAGAAATATTGAACTAAAATTCAGACATATATATATATATACATTTAATCTAAATTGAACTCATAGACGCTGACTTATAAAAATTATTGGAAGGGTCCAAACTACAGGATCACGGGATAGGGAACCTGGAAGGGTGGGGATATTGTTGGGAATATATCCTATATGTCAATATGCAATATGCCTATACGAAAAATTACCATCTCAGGCAGGTATTGAGTTGTCTCATCATGCCCTTTCTATTTTACTACTACTGGGTCTCACAGTTCCTCACAGGGCATGGGAGTTTCCGAGCAAAGCTAGTTGAATATCGTAAGAACATTGATTCCTAATCCCAAAAAAAACAAAAACAGGCTTTGTGCATTGCTGGAGAAAAAGAAAAAAAAATGTTATTAGTCTGAATGCAGCAGTGAGTTGTAAAGTATGCATTGCTAAACACTACTGCATAATATCCATATTGCCTTACCGGCAGGATAGGTTTCAAATATATAAAATAAGCCCTTCCTGATGACAAAAAATTGTTAATACTTTTTTTTGTATTAACACCACTGACATTAATATTTTTTTAAGTCACACAAAATACTTTATACTAAAACGGTACAGTATTTTAATAGATGATTCCTTTTACAGTTTAGGTGAGTTTATAAATCTACAATAGGACACCATAAAAATAATTCCACTATACCGCTACAAGTTAGGTATAGTCCTTTGTAATGGAATTATAATGTACATGATCGATATGTACATGAAGTCCATACTATAGCAATTAGTTGGAAGGCTGAGCCTCGCTACCGCAGCATTTGGGGGCTCGAGCCCCACGAGTTCCTAGCAGCCCGTGCCTATGATGAGACTACAAATCACTATTAGAAGTCACATGTATTTCAAACTTAGATTCAGTTGATTAAAGATTTTTTTAGTTGTTTGAAATTCAGTTTCTCTTCTAATTCAGTTAAATTACATTAAATATGACTATGATGATTTAAAAAAATAATGAAAATCTAATATTTATATGCTTACTTTTAAATAAACTTAAATTTTGAAATTTTGTTTCACCAATATTAATGCATATTAAAAGAAATTAATGAAGAATAAATCAACTAAAAAGTCAATATTATACATAAATTTAGTACAATAAAAATTAAAACAAATATATATTATAAAGGTTAAATATAATGATTAATTATAATGTGCATCACATATGTTTGTTTAGAGTTTTTTTTTTGTGTTGTTTATTTGAAATAGAAATGTTAACGTTTGATGTAAACAAGTGGATTTTAATTATAATCTATGCCCTGATGGCATTGATATTTCAGTGTCAAAATGTGAATAGTACCAGGTACATCAATCAAAATTCTAAAATAGTATAATAAGAATAATACCTTCTAAATGAATTTAATAAGCTTCAATATTATTGTTTTATTGCACAATAAATTAACCTATTTGTTTTATTCACTCAACATTGATTATTGATTAAAATAAAGAGTATATCAGTTAACAATGGTTCTGGATTACAAGGAGCACATGATATAAGTAAATTCCAATGGCTGTATGGTCGGTTAAGAAAAGTTTAAGGTTTATTTCTCAGCAGCCACGGGAAATGAAACTTGATACTCCTACTGTAGTAAATATGATTCTGCAACCTTTTGGTAGCTGACAGGGATTGCCATAAAGAATCAAAAGACCCACTTGCCGGAGTAGTCTCCCCCCTTTCTCCCAGTATCAGTATCAATAATGGTACATGGTCAGATGACTGTATTTCATTGTTTTTTAAGCAATAAAATATTTTTTTATGTCCTTTATTATACCCAAATATTGTTTTAATATGGAAAAATGTGAAATATATTTTTCATAGTAATTATTTTGGCACATTATATAGAGACAAAAAATTTGTATTTATTATATTGTAGTATAGAAAATTTCTTAGAGCAAAAAAAATTTCTTGGATATTCATTTAATTTTTTTAGGGATCAGAATCAAGATCAACATATGGCACCCCCACAGTGGCATGATGAAGAACCAGCAGATTGGAGTATACACCATTGCTTCTCAGTAGGAGTAGAACAAGCTGCAAAACTCAATAATCCTGTCAAATAAATAAAATAATGTTCATATGTTTATAATTATTTGAAAAAAAGCTTCTTTTTTTTTTACCCACTTAAAACATTTGCTACACATGTGCATATGTATTTTGCAAGCAATAACTGATAAATCTAGGAGAAACAGTTGTAAAATTTTCTTAATAACCTTTTCAAGGGGGTGTCTTAATTTTCAAGTCATATAAATATCTGTTATATGTCTGTTATTGACATTTTAAGGTTTTAGAAAAAGGTCAATAACAGACCCCAAGTAGCTAACAGACACCCAATTATTAGTCTCATGAATGTGTTGCTCCAGATATTACTTTTATATATAATTAAAAGTTTAAATTATGACAAAGGAGCACACGAGGTTTTAGCTATTAATTGCTTATGAAAAACAGGAATAAAGTTATGAAGACGGGAATCGCATCCCCAAACATAAACTTGGAAAGAAGTTTTTATTGACAACAATATAGTAATTTAAACAGTTTCCAACAAGAAAAGAAGAAATTTTTTACCATATTGTTTCGATATCTCTGCCTGTCTTGGGCTATTTTTTTTATTTATCTGCATGCAGCTCTATTTCATCTTTCTTGATTCTATTTTTCCATCTACTTTTTGGCCTTCCACATGGTCTTTCTCCTTCTATTGAGGCATTCATTGTTATGTAGAAGCTTCCAGATGGATTGCTACGAGCTACATGCCCCGCCCATCTTAACCTCCGTCCCTTCATATCATGGGATATTGATTGACCAGTTTCTGTAAGCAGTTCTTTATTGGTCTTTCTTCTCCATGTGTGTTTATATTATTTCTTATATTAATATAAATTTAATTTATATAATATTCTTTACTCAAATAAATGTTTTTCAGCAAGAAATAAAAATACAAAAATAAACCAATATAAAAATCTAAGAGAAAATATGGTAGAATGAATCAAGCAGGCTGAAATCTCTAGTTCTACTTTCCCAAATGACCATAGGTCTCTGACGAGTCCATTCCGGACAGCTGGTCACTATTGTTCTTATACTTTTTTAAAAATATTAATCCTCTATTGCCAGATTTCTTTTTCTTTTAATTTGATTTGAAAGACTTTTTATTTAAGCATAAATATATTTCAATGGTAGTCAATTCCTTGTTATTTGAATTAAGCATCTTTAATGTACACCAAATAGAGTAAGCGAAAATATAGTGATTAAAAAAGGAGACTTGACAATTCTTATAACCAGGAAATACCAGAAGCTTCAAGAGATATATTTTTTATCCTATATATATATATATATATATATATATATAAAGACATACTGTAAAATTAGAATGAAACACTCTTTTCTCAAATAACAGATCAGAATGTTGACTATTCTTTAGGCGTATTTAACATATTTGTAATGAATTTTAATCATAGACAATTCATATATAATAGATAGATTTAAAAAAGAGGTACCTGATTAATTTACAACTTTTCCACATCAGGGTAAAAAAGGCAAAATTATAGTCAATTAATAGTCACAAGAAAAACTTAAAGCACTACTATTCATTTATACCAACTTGACAAATATATTTTAATATTTGAGTTTTAAAACTTTTGAATATGTAATTATCAACACATTTATTTTTTAATCATTTTTAAATATTAAAAAAATGAATAAACTTTTGGAGATGGCAATATTTTTCAATAAACTTCTGTTTTTTACTTTAATATACATGCAAGAAAATTATTTTCTGGATATTTTTTTTATATTATTTTAAAATAATAATATTTAAAATAACATACTATATTTTTAGTAATAATTAAAGAATGAGCTTTGTTGTATAATTCGTATTTAATATTTTGCATAGTCTGAAAATTCTGTAATTAGAGTTAGTGACTTAATGTTCCCTCCAATTCTAGCCTGGATAGTTAAGGCAATCTCATAGTCCTCTACAATAACATGTGAAGGCTTACTATAATATTTACTTTTGAATGTGTTTCATATAATCAAGGAAATTAAATTAATTTAGTTGGAGTAAGTAAGTATTAAGTAGGGCTATACTTAAATTATAATTAAAATATTAATATAATATTCTTATAATTTGTATTACAAAATATAAAAATTATATTTCATTGTTATAATTTTGATTGTAGAAACACTAATTTTAATTAATAAATAAAAAATTAATAGCCCTGCCCATAACAAAAGTAGCTATGAATAATTTAGCCTAGCGTATTTTAGTTAAATCATCTCTTTCATTAATATTTCTATTTTCAGTGCTGATTTCTTGTGTATGAGGATAATTTTTTGGGGTTTCAGTTGAGAATTCCCTGTTGGGATTATTCCATAAAAGTTAATACAGGTTTTATCACATTATGATCGTTTGTTATGTTCATATAAGCTCACTTAGAATTTATAAATGTATTTGTTTGTCATTGACTTTTAACAACCATTGTCTATCACCCAGTATTGGTGTCATTAAATAGTTTGTGTTCTGTATTAAGCTCAACTCACCAATACCAAGAATTTTATGTACCACCAAAAGTGCATAATCCCAATATCTTTGAAAGAGAGAAGAAACCTATGTTTCAGCTTACTATATTCATTGGAGTTATTAAGAAGCCGAGAATTTGAATTATATATGTGTGTATAATACATTTAAATGAAGAAATTAAGCAAAACCTGTTAAGTAATTGTTATTCATATTAGTAGTATAGATTTGGGTATTGCTCTTCAGAAATTGCTTCATACCAGAATATGTAAGCAACTGTCGATTTTTTTAAAAAACCGTTACCCAAGTTTCATATAATTTTAGATCATATGAAAAGTGCATATATGACAGAAAAAAAAATTAGTTTTTTTTCAGAATAGTTTTCGATGATGAAAGAATAAATTAGACCTGATTTTGACTTTTGATTAAAGTAATATTCCTGGAATAGATGATTCATCGATAGTTAGGCGAAAGTGACAAATAAACCTCGCTATCTATCACTAATTCTTGGTAAACTCATAGTCCGGGAGCTCGTGGCAAATAATTTGTCTTATTTCATACGTTTGTTCGTACGTCGTATTCATAGGTTTATCCCTATAAATTGACCATGTCCGTAGGCTCGATGAGAGAAATGCATCTCCGCCAGCATATAGCCGATGGAATACAAAATGGCAGCCATGTGAAGATGATAAACACCTTATGTGGGTAGAAAACTTTTTTAGAGAGAGGACGTAAAGATATAGTATAGAAAGCTACTAATCCTTTAAATTTATAGTACTTACTGTCTTAAATTAAAGTCGAAAATTCGAATTTGGGTATCAAAAAGTTTAATCTTTCGGGTTTTCGCTTATATCAGTGAAGCGATGCTTCTAGCGATAATAATGTTCTATTTAAAATTAAAGCTGAAACAATTTCTAATAGAAAATATTACATTCATTTCTTCGCTATCGTCAATATTTGCCGTGATATCCGTCTTCATATTTCACTAACCTCGAAAAAAATAGTTTTTTTCTCACATTTTTATCACTATTTGACGCGTTAATTCTTTATCTTTTCATTTTACGAAAATGTCATGAAAAAGAAAGTTATTTAACATTAAATTTTCTTTATGAATATTTGTTATTTTAATAACATTCTTGTTTCAGCCATTCAAAAGCTAGAGCAATTATAACGATGTGTTTAAACAATGAAACTATGCAGAAAAAATTATTTTCGTATTTTTTGTTATTGTACAGCTATTAATAATTATATAAGGATATACAGGGTATCCCGTAAGTTAGAGGGAAATATTTAAAAGGTTGATAGTAGACATCAAGATATTAAAAAAGTTCATATAAACAATTGCCCAATTTCCAGCAGAAAAGTAGGAAATTTAAGATTTGTGTTTTTTTAAGCGAGTCACATATTTGTTAAGTAGGGAGCGATCACTTCAAAAATATTTATATTAAATAATTAAAAATTAATCCATAATGAACTAGAAAAAATTTACTTTAAACGAAAGCCAAGTTTCGTTAAAAAAAAAAAGTCATAAATTATTTGTGATTTTTTTTTATCAACCTTCAACAGTACATTTAAACCACTTTAAAAAAAAATCCTCGTTTAATGAGCCATATTAATTAAGTTAAGGTTTATTAGGAAAAAAAATTGAGATTTATCTCAAGTTGTATAAAGAAATGATGTGATTTCCTATCCAGTCACCTAAAAGTACCTGTGTTTTCAGCAAAAATGACTACAATTAACTGTTGCAAAGCTTTTATTTATTGTTTTTTTCGTGCTATAGAATGTATTTTAATAAACAAAAATTACCTAAAAACACATTTTATTTATAAATATAAAAAAATTAAAAATAATGATTTTTCATGTATGGTGGTTATGAATTCTGTTTCTCTACCAGATTTCTGTGAACGGAATTGATGCGTGTTTATAAGTGACAAACTTTCTGTTCTTAGCAACAATATTTACTTTTCATGAAAATAATTGAAGCAATAAGTAGATTTATTTATTTTAACCGTAAATTTAATTAAGAAACATTCAATTTGTCACTGACAAATAAATATAAATTTCGATGGCGGAAGTATGGCAGAAAACACAGTTTCATAACCAATTTACGTGAAAAATATTTTTAAAATCATTATTTTTATATTTATAAATAAAATGTATTTCTAGACAATTATAGAAAAACAAGAAATAGAAGTTTTGCAACAGTTAGTTGTAGTAATTTTTGCAGAAAACATTGGTACTTTAAGGTGGCTGAATAGGAAATCACATGATTACATTAAATAACATTACGTGAATCTCAATTTTTTTCTAATAAATCTCAACTTAATTAATATGGAATTAAAACTAATTAAACGAAGCGGTTTTTCTGAAATTGGAGTAATTATAGTACAGTTAAAGGGTGATTTAAAAAATACAAATAATTTATGACTTTATTTAAACGGAACTTAGCTATGTTTGTCCTCCTAATATTCGTCTTTGAATAACCTTAACAATGACAAACTCTGCTTTCGTTTAAAATAAATGTTGTCTAGTTAACTATTTAATAATTTTTTATTACTTCTATCAAGTATTTTTTAAATTATCGCTTTCTTTTCAGCAAAAAACGTGACTCGTTTAAAAAAACACAAATCTTAAATTTCTACTTTTCTGCTGGAAATTGGGCAATTTCGTATATGAACTTTTTTTTGTAGATTTTGTTGTCTACTATCAACCTTTTAAATATTTACCTCTACTTACGGAACATCCTGTATACATACATATGTATATTATATAAGCCAATGTATACATGTGTATGTTGGCTTATATAAAGATTAAGAGCTGTGTAATAATGATAAGCAAGTTTTTCTGCATACTATTTAAGTATAAACATAAACTTATAATTGCTCTAGCTTTTGAATGGTTGAAGATAAAGTATTAATATATAATGTATATTCTTAAAGAAAATTTAATGTTAAACAAATTACTTCCTTAAGGAATTGATACAAATTACTTAAGTAAGTGACTTTTTTGTAAAGTGGAAAGATAAAGAGTTGGCGAACAAATAGTGATCAAAATGTGAGACCAAAACAATTTTTTTCAAGGTTATTGAAATAGGAGGATGGTTATCTCGGGAACTATGGAAAATCATAAAGAAATGAATATGACCATTTTCTTTGAACATTTTATCATCTTTAATTTTACATAGAACATTATAAGCGCTATAATGCATAGTTTCACTGATATAAGCGAAAACCCGAAAAAAAGTGAACTTTTTGAATCGTAAATTCAAATTTTCGACTTAAAATCCAGGGGTATGGGGTAACTGACCATTATTTCATGTCTTATGATTAGTTTAAATTATTAAATTGTAAATATACCAAATTACTTCAAAATATTATAGTAAAATTTTAACGGAAAAATTAGTTTAATTTTTTATTAATTAATTTTAATTAAAACTAGTTTTTCCAATAACATTACTTATATAAACTTATAATTCAATCAATTTAATATCCAGTATTCTTCTATTTATCTTTGCGATATTACATTAGGTAGTAATCAACTGTTTTGTAACTTCCATGTGCGTTTCGTAAATTTAGTTTTGATACTACAAATACAGTTTTTAGTTAAATATTCGACTCACATCTCAGAATATTACTTTCTTTTTTTTTTTTTTACTTATCAAAGTACGTATCACTGAAAATCATACACAACCAGTACCTATTAATCGCGCCAAACATGAGCTGCATCGGAATTTAAATCTGGTTTTCGTGTTTAAAATGAAAATAGGCCTTATACAATAATATCTGCAATATACAACGAAAAATATATCCGCCTCAAGCCCCAAATGGTTTTACATTACTGTTTGAAATACATTTGGTTGGGGAAAAAAGTATTGCAAACGTTGGGATGTTTTGGAAGAAGCATGTTTTTATACTTATTTATTTTTGGAAGTAATAGATTTTAAATTCGATGGAACTTTCAAACTTTAGAACTAGAGATAAACATGGAACAGACGGAAAGTATAATTAAGTAAATGAAGTAAAATTTTAATAATTCTGCTTTTTTTTTTTTTTTAAGCGCCGTTTTTAAGAAGAAGTGAATTTCAATAATTTTTTTTAAATTATGTATGTGCTTTTAAAGTAATCAGACCGCTTGTGTAATTGTTTAAGATCATCTTCCATAATTTTTTTAAACCTTGTTATAAAAACCTATTTGATTTCATTTTTTTCTCATATTATTTTAGTGTCTGTTCATCTGTTGTACATAACTGTAATTGATAAATTGATTAAGGTGCAGATTAATAAATATAATTTTAAAAAATAGAAAAAAAACAAACATATTTTTTGTAAATGTTGGCTTATTAAATTAGTTGGTAATTATGTACTTGCTATAAAATATAATAGGGAATTACTGTATATTACAGTTGTTTTGATATTTTCCATATTACCGGAACTTAACTTTATGAAGAAAAACACAAACTAAACATGTGCATAGGTATTTTGTAAGCAATAACTGATAATTTTGGGAAAAACAGTTGAGAAATTTTCTTTATTGCCTTTTAAAGGGGGTCTCCTAATTTCCAATTTATTCATTGCGTCAAAAATGATTTGAAATTAAATAAATGCTGCAACTGCTTCTCTCCTTAGATCAGCTTGTGTGCTCGAGAATTCAAGTAGTGTGCTTTTTTTGGGCTGAAGTTCTCCCACCCCAAAAATAGGAAAACAATTTTTTTTTTCATTTCTCTTTGAGTAATCTCAGGCAAATAGTTAACCATTACAATTTGTTCTCTGTTTAAATTATAAAACATGTACTTCAGCTACTGTAAAAAAAAAAAAAAATGAAATTTTATTCCTTGAAGCAATATTGTTTTTGTAGTTACGGTAAAAAAAAAAAATAATAATAATAATAATACCCATCCCAAATTAAATCTTGAACTGCATTTAGAAAAAGATCTACACCTATCTCTAATTCCCAGAAAAATATTCCATATTACTTCCTTAAAATACATCCTACGAGACAGAAGGATTCCCATTCCATCCGCATCTTTTATTGAGTGGTATCAACAGCGTGTTACCAGGAATTTCATTTAATTTAAGATAATTAAATGAAATGTGTACTATCTTTTTTTTTGTGTGTGTGTGTGTGTGTACTAAAAACTAAATAATTAATACTAATTTTTCCTCTAGAGCAGTCTTTAAAAAATTCTTGTCTTCCATGTTCAACTCGATTATAAATAGAACTTACGTTCAACTGCCTTAGATTTTGGCTATTTTTAAGCATACATTTGAGGGTGTTGGGATCGTTTGTGAGACTTTTGCTACTGACTTAATTATTCGATTAGAGAATGAAGTGCTCCATGATTGGAAACTCATTAGGAGTAGGCGACGATGATTCATACAACTTAAGAATATGAATGCACCTTAGGGTACCTACTATCTGATTCATCAGTTGTTTACCTTGGCTAGCATCACTTGCGATCTCTTCTGTTTGAGAAATGGTTTCTACTCAGAATATAAGTAATTTATGGCTAATTTCAATAAAACGTGAAACATTTTATGCTTTTGAAAAAGAAGATTATGTTATCTGAGTGTATTTTTTTCTATACTTACACCAACTCCAGAATGTTCAAGTTATTAACGAAAGCCCTCAGCGGCAAGGTGAGTTGTTGATTTATCTTATCAGTTGTTTTTGGTACAGTTATAATAAAAATGTATACAAGATTCCTGTCATTTATTAATACTCTTACATTTCTGATACATATTAATGATACAAATTTGATTTTAACCTTATTGTTTAATACTTGTATCAGGTATACAATGAAATAGGAAGTATATCGGCACGTGATAATTCCCATTATGAATAATGACGTTCATTACGTAATTTTCTAATTTTACTCGTAAGTTAAATCTTGTATGTTTTTATATCAGCTGATTGTATGACAACACTTCAAGGACGATATAACCTGTACGATTCTGTGGTCAGAGTAACTGTCGTAAATGTTTTCTTTAAAATCTATCTCCCATTATCTAATTGGTATGTTTTACTGTATTAAATTGCATATTTAAAGTGTGGAAATGATGTGACAGTGAAAAATGTTTAATTACTTTTAAGGGAAAGATGATGTTTTTTCTGTCAATGTATTTTCTTTGTAGTTAAAGAGCCTCTTATTTGAGGAAATGGCAAATGATGAAGGTATATCTTGGTACCATGGGAACCTGTCAAGGGAAGATACCGAAGAAATATTCAAAAATGGTAAATATTTCACTTTATACTTAATAATTTATACATCTAGTGTTATTGAGCCTGCCTTTGTTAGTAATCAACTTAATGTATTATCAGCTAGTTTGTCTATGGGACAAGCTGCTACCCATGGCCTTTTCCTCGTTAGAGACAGTAGAACTACACCTGGAGACTTTGTTCTTTCTGTTATGAACAAAGGAGAATTATTACACTTTCAGATTCGACGCCATGGTGAAGATGCATTTTTCTCAATAAGTAAGTTACATCTAATAAAGTTTTCATTTTTAGTGCCTTTTTAGGATAATATGTTCATGTCCAATAGTTTATTTTCACTTTGTGTTTTAATTTGTTTCATTCTGAATGAGGGGCTGTAAATTCAATTTCAGATGGAGAGACACCTTTCCATGGTTTGGAAACTTTAATTGATCATTGCCAAAAGGATGGACAGGGTTTACCTTGTGTTTTAGGAAATGCTATAAGGAAGGACCCTCCCCCTCCTGATACGAGAAGTCATGGTAGATCCAATCTTCTTCATCGGGCTACTAAAGAAGGTTAGTACAATTAATTATATTTGAATGGGATAATAACATCCATATATGGAACAATTTTATGTAATAATTAATTTAAATTTGTTTTCCCAAACATTAATGTTAGTAATTGATATTGGAAATGTTCTAAATTTTGTTGAATAAAATACAAATATATCATAATATATATAATAATAAATACTAGTTAATTCACATAGGATATTAGTAAGAGAACAATTGACAATATAATATAGAAATAAGTTAATGCATTATATTATGAGATGGAGGAAATCATTTTATTTTTTTCAATCAAATCACATTACTTCATTCATAATTACAAACAAAGACATGGATATTACTATAGGCTGAATCTTTGCTAATAATTGTTAGATTTTTTTTTCTTTTAGAGAATTTATTAATCTGTCAAATAATCATGGGTGCAATTGACAAACAAATTTATACTTTTAACAGTTATTTACAAATAAATTTTCTATTTATTCATAACATTTTTCATAAAATTTTGTTGGGATGTAATTATTATTTGTAACTTCTCCATAAAATTCTTATTCGTTTGAAACCTCATTCATCAAAATCTATCTCTCCTGAGATCCGGGAAAGGGATCTACACTGCGCCCGTCTTAAAGTAGCAGTTTGAAACAAGTACCATTCATTGTTTTAATAATCTTTGAAGAAGGTAAATCTTTAAAGTAAGAAAGACGTTTGGAATAGTTCCACATTATATAGCTGCCATGTAATTTCATAACACCCTTCTTCCAATTTCTCACTTAGCTTTTATTAATGTAGTAATTTGTGTTTAAGGTAATTTTACAGTTGCTTCTGAGTTACTTAAGTGTGGATATCGCAATATAGAAGCAAAAAATCAGGATGGCCAGACTGCTGTTCATCTTGCCTGTTTACAAAATTATCCAAACATTTTGCAGAAACTGATAGAAAGTGATGCAAATGTCAATTGCAGAGATCAACAAGGAAATACTCCTTTACATGTAATTATGTATAATATATTATTCTGGATTATAAAAATAAAAGATAGTCATAGAATTTAGTATCAATAAATCTCTAGGATAATTAGTATTGTATTTTTAATGTGTAATAGCATAGAAAGATGAAATAATAACCTTACTGATTTTCATTTGTTATTATTGCTGAATGTTTTGGGTCAATGACCCCATGTTATAAAGTATTACCATTTGTTTAATTTTGCATTAAAGAATTTATTCAATATGCTTATCATATCTTCATCATATCAGCTTTTTGCAAAAAGTCATTAAGTGATATTTCATAAAATGAAACCACTTAGTACTTTGATGAATTCCTCCTCTGTGAAATTAGAATATTGTGCACTAATAAGGGAAGATTTCAGTCAGTGGATCGCTGACTTGGTGGGTCCTGGTCTTCAAGGAATGTATAAATCCTCATTATCTAGTCAAATAAAAAAAGTGAGAACTTACCAAAAATTTGTTATCTACTACAATGTATTTCAATATTATAATTTCATTGAACAGCTATTTGTAGTACACCAAATACCAAAGAAAACCATATTTCTTAAATGGGCTTAGTAACGATAGAATTCTTAAAAGGTTGATATTTGCTGTACTGAATGATAAACGTCCGAGAGGTAGACCGAAGCGAAGATGGGAAGATTGCGTTGAAGCCGATCTGAAGGGACTGGGTTTGGACCGTGAACGGTGGAGGGAGGTGTGTAATAAGCGATTGGTGGTGTCGAACCTCTGGGTTCGCTAAGCCTTTTATTTTTATTATTATTATAATTATCATGCCCATTAATGTTATCAGCTATCGATCTAATGTCTTTATTTGGTTTATGTAATTTTATGAGTCCGTGTATTCTCGGTTCAATATCATTATTACTAGCTAATTTGCTTTTAGTAAATTTAACTATATATCCATATTTTTGTAGTTTATTTATATAAGTATTCATTTTTTCTGCTAATTCTACTCATGTATTGGTTCTCATCTTTTTGTATACCATACCATTATTATCTAATAATGTTTCTATTTTCAATGTATAATCATTTCTATTCATAATCACTAATTTCCTGGTGTTGTTCGATTTTATCACTATTATTTCTTTATTTTGTTATTCAATATCGAAATTTATGAATTATTTTTAAATGTTGATATATATTCATTAATAACATTACATATGTGATTTCTGGTACCATTAATATGGCATTCTGAGGTACTAAATTGTCCTATATTTTTTTCTAAATCTGCAATTAACTGAATAATATCATTGTCAATAATTTTATTATGAAAATTAAATTTATCTCCCAATGTTAATAGATTTAGAATGTTATTTGGAATCCCATATTTAGTCAAAATTTCTGCCCTACCTGCAGACCTATATAAGTTGTTGTATTTCTCTAAAATTAATAAATCATTCGTTTCCTGCTTATTTATGGTTTGTAAATTCCCTACTTGTTTTACATTCTGGCCGCCCAATGAGGATATCGAATCTTATTTAGTGTTTAGTGTACTACTATTGTAGCTTAATATACTACCAATTATTTTTTCGGTTCATTTTTCCTTAATTCGTTTTTACTTCATCAAAAAATATTGTACATATGTCTTCCATTCCAATGAGCTCTAGGTGCCGAGAAATTACAAACAAAATTTATGTTATTCATATTTGACTTTGCTTTGACTGGAATTTTAGATTATTATATACCAATTGATTTATTTTTTGTGCAGAATAAGAAAAAAATATTTACTATGGTGTTATATGAGTTATAAATTACAATAATCAAAGGATTCATCCTGTGGAATAGTACAAGTAAATTTTTGTTATATAAAAGCATGTTAGATTTGTGTTCAGGGTCCTTTAAAACTCAAAAATACGAACTTTTAAATAAATAAAAAAAATACAATCTTAAGTACTATATTTTCTTGGGTGATTTTTTTTCCGGCTGTGAGCTGTGGGTGACTGCTGGCAGTTAAGCTCTGTTTTGGTGGAATAGAGAGAAGCTTGTTTCGTTGTCACTGCTCAGCAGTTTAAGTAAAATATCATAACCATACTGCTTCTTTCTGACCATTCCAGAAACAGTCATATTCCATCCATTTAAATTCTTTATTAAACCTAACAGTATTTAATAATGAGTATAGTATTTTGTTCTTGATTCCATTCTAAAAAAACTAATAGTTTATGCAATGATGGTGTTTTCTCTTAAAAACACTATTTTCAGCAGTACTACCATGTCTCACTCCTCCTTATTTTCAGTCAAACAATGTGGGTAAATCTATAAGAAACATTATCTGATGTATTATTTAATATAATGGGTTTCTGAGAAATATTCATCAAATCCAATTAGTGAATTTTGTGCGTAGATGAATTCGTTGGTGAAAAAACAATCCAATTAACAATTCAATTTTAACTATCAAATTACAGCTAAATACGTATCACTTATGTACTAAATATTTTTTTAAGGAGGAAAAAATTGAGATTTGTATTTCGCACCTCGAATAAGCTTTAAATACAAATTTTCAAACTAATCGAAAAATAAATTTTTTTTTTTCCAATTTTTGCCTGGGTCGTATTTAAGAGTTTTAGTGAATCCTAAAAACGAATTTGAATAAGTTTTTTTTGTGACAAAAATTTATTTTGCCTACTTTACTTGAAGCCTCTCTGGGTTTTTGTAATTTATTATATATAAGAATTCGTTTAATGCAATAAGCAATATGTTTTTCTTATTTTACACCAAAACAAACCGATTGATATTTAATAACTTATAAATTCATTCAGAGCAAAGTCAGAAAACAGTAACATAAAAAATAATAAAATTTTATATACTTTTTTTCACGGCTCCTAGGCATTGGCAAGAACCCTCGGACATGGGTTTAATATTTTTCGACCTAGTATCACCAAAAAAAGTTTCATTAAAATTGGTGCTCCCCACATCCTTAACCTTGTTAGTTAATTTTGTTTTTTGCTTAGTGAAGAAATAAATTATGAATATGAAATACAAATTTTTTACAATTTTGAATTCTGTTATTTCTTTCCAAGCCATAATACATTTTATTCACAGTGACCAATCCTTAGTTTACTATATATATACTCATTTAGTTTAGTTTAGTACAATAATTTAATTTCAACTTTCATTAATATTTTGTTTATAATATAGCTTTACATTACAAATGAGGATTGTGTATAAGTAAGTTCATCATTATTTTAGTTCGAATTTATTTCAATATAATTATTATTTTTTTAAGTCTAATTTTAAATTTTTTTTAACACAACTTAATGGTTAGTATCCATTGTCTCTTTTAGTATGCCTGTCAGAATAATTCTGTGGTGGTTGTGAAGATTCTTTTGAATGGTGGTGCAAATGTTCAGCTGAGAAATACTAACACGGGTAATATATAATTTTTTTTTTTTTTATATTTTGACCTTTTAATATTGTTGATATACCCTGAATAAATATTTCTTTTTCTCATATCCTTAAGATCAATATTTGGACGATACTTTTAATTCAGTTATGTCAAAACATTGAGACAAGTTCCAAGTTAACTGAAAATATTCTCTCTTTTAGGTTGGGTACCACTCCATGAAGCTGCATATGAAGGGCACAAAGAAATTGTTGAGTACTTGTTAAGGATGGGAGCGCCATCCCGTCCAAGAACTAAGGATGGTAAAACACCACAACAACTTGCTGAAGAAAAGGGTTATTACCAAGTGTCATATCTTTTAAGTGAGTAATTTTATTCCTTAATGAAATTTTATTTTTGTGTCTTATTAGGATTAAAAAGTTAGTTAGTTAATAAATGATCTCCATTGATTTTTTTTGTTCAATAATTTATATGCAACAACATAGCATGAAAAGGGAGGGAATAGGATGCATATCAGAATGTATCATAAAATCCTTGGATATGCAGATGATATAGCAGACATTAGAAGCAATCAAGTGGACATTGAGAAACTCACTAAGACTCTAATGAGATAAGCAAATCTCTTCATAGGAAATCAGCCTATGAATATTAAGATAAAATAAAATATATGATAAGCCGAATACCCTACCTCAATAACAGTATTTGCATAGAAGGAAAATTGTTCCCAAGAGTAGACAAATTCAAATACCTCGGATCTACAATAACCTCAATGAATGACCAATGATCAGAAATGGATCAATGTATTACAAGCACAATCAGAGATTTCTTCTATTCAGAAGTATTGAAATCCTGATAAATCTCTAGAAATAAAAAATTAAGGGTGCACAATGATATAATGAAACCAATGCTGATATGCAGCTGCAAAACGCTAACCTAGAATTAAGCACACTAGAAAAAAGTATTAAAAGATTTGAGAGAAAAATCTTCTGCATGATAACTGGGCGATATGGGATCAAAATACTGATGCATGGAAGTGAAAGACCAATAAAGAGCTACTTACAGAAACTCAATCAATCAATATAACATGATATGAAGTCAAAGAGTTTAAGATGGATGGGGCATATATCTCATTGCAATCCATCTGGAAGCCTCTACACAAAGAATGCCTCAATAGAAAGCAATAGACCACGTGGAAGTCCAAAAACCAGATGGATAGATAGAATCAACAAAGATGCAATAGAGCTGTATGCAAATAATTAGAAAGAAATAATCTAAGACGGCAGAGATGGAGGAGACTGATTACGGCGGTAAAAGATCTACAAGGTCTGCAGTGCTAACAGGAAAAAAAAAATATGTGAAATAATTTGTTAATTAAATTATTATACTGAATAAAGGATAGTAAAATTCTCTCCTTTGATTTAAACAAAACAAAACTTATATATCGACCATTCATTTAGCGTTTACTTTAAACATAAAGACGTTTCTTTTTAATAGCATTAGAATCATATACTCGCATGGCTAAAATAAATATTCATATGTTTCTTCCGCTTTGCTGCAGATTGGTAACTATATTAATATTTTGGGAAATAATAATATGCTATGTTAAAATTATATTTATCAATCTTGAAATGGGATTTCAGTTAAAAAAAAAATGTTTATATTGTTGATAACAAGTTCTTTCCCCCATCCTAAATAGCTAAACTAGTTATTAAGGGTGCCTTGTAGGGTTTGGGCCAATTCAGTAGTACTATTGATTGGCTTGTTAATCTTTAAGCTTATGAGTTATCATTATCTCAAATTATATCAATAGTTAGTAGATTGCTGGGTGTAGTAGTTTTATAGTCGCTGATTGTGTGTGTATTCTTTAAAATGTATTTCATTATAAATGCCAAATCATTTAAATGTTCGTTCTCTCTTAACAGAAACTCACGAAGGCCCTAAACCAAACACTACAAAAGATGACTGGTATCATGGCACTCTTTCAAGAGCTGAAGCCATTCAACTTTTGACATCGTATGCTGGTAATACTGATGGAAGATTTCTTGTTAGGTACAGTGAGAAAGAAGAAAGTATTGTACTCACTATGATGAGTGCTACCTCCAGTACACCTTACAACTACTTTATTCGAAAACAGGTTACCTGTCAACCAGTTTCATTGTAGAAATAAAATTAGTCATAAAAACTATTTACAAGAAGCATAATTTAAAAACAAATTAGATGGCACTGTAATGTGAAAGAGAGATGTTATTTTATCCATTTTCTACAGTTTCACCTGTATTCACTGGCTGAAATGTGTGTAGTAGCTATATATGTCAGTTTATTTTCATGAATTTAAATAATTAAGAAATTTGATGATTTTTTCCTTTGTGAAATCAGAAAAAATTGTGCTTCGTGTAACTGTATTTATTAAATAATAGTGTGTCACTTTTATGCACTTATGGTGTTTTTTTTTATACATATATATGTTCAAAAATCACAAAAATATATTTGAAGGTTAACCTATATTAGGTAAACACTTGGTGGCCTTTTACAATAAATGGATAATATGTTCTGTCATATTTCTTGAATTGATCCTTATTTTGTAAAATAGGTTATGCGTGTATATATATATATATATATATATATATATATATATATATATATATATATATATATATATATATATATATATATATATATATATGTTATATTTATGTAATATATATATTATATATTATATTATATATTATATATTATATATTATATATTATATTATATATTATATTATATATATTATAATATATATATTATATATATATATATATTATATATATATATATATATATATATATATATATATATATATATATATATATATATATATATATATATATATAGTTTTTGGTCATTTTTACTCCTTCAGGGTGTGATATTACAGACATGAAATTTTCCACTCTGTCTTGATTCACTCGTCAGCCAGGTGGGATACTCAAATAAGGAAGTAATGATTGAGTGGTGAATAGTAGATGTGTAGTTTATTTTTTTATAAAAAGTAGGTTATAACCAGGTTTTCAAAAATCACTAGAAGAAGAAATAATAAGTTAAGTAATATGTAGATAATGGACTACCAATTGACCAAAACTAGAGTTTTAAGTTTTGGTAACGGGTGGTTTGGGAAGTTGTATATGATAGTTTCATTTTCATACATCTATGCAAAAGCATTTTTAATCTATCTTTCTTTTTTATTTTCTTTGTAATAAATACTAATAATTACTTGTCTGAATTTTGAAAGAAATATTTGTTTATTTTGCAGGGAAATTTTTATTTTATTGATGACGGGCCACTTTTAGACACTTTGGAACATGTCATTGAACATTATAGCACTATGTCTGATGGACTACCAACTATTCTTCAAGTTCCTATTAAGCCAAAGCCAAAACCTCCTCTACCTGATTATCATCCATCATCTATTGTATGTAATCCTTGTTTTTTATACCTTTATTCTCAATTTGTTAATTATTATTGAATATCTGATAATCATAATTACAGTTTTCTACAATGCCAGCAAAAAATAGGAAGGGATATAGGTGGTCCGAAGGAAATGCTACACTACCCTTACCCCCAAAAACCAAGCCCCGAAAAAGTGTTGATAGCAACATGAGCAATCCCAGATTTGCTTCCTCGGATACAATTTCCATTCAAAGTACTTAATAATAGTACATGATTAAATTTTATTTTATTATTTTAACCAATATATATACTTATTTAATTATATTTTTATTTTAGTATTTGTACCCAGAGAAAGTTTAATAATGAAAGAAGTTATTGGTGAAGGAGAATTCGGTTCTGTATATAAGGCAATTTACCAAACAAGAAGTGGGACCGAGGTATGCCTCATTACCTTAGAAACCTTTGCATGATTTGCATTCTATATTAGAGTAAAGTTTTTCTTCTAATTTTAATATAAATTTCCCAATTATTTGTATTATAATTTTATTTTTAATTTAAATGGTAAGTTGTAATAAATAATTGTAGTCCTAATGAAAATTTTTCTAGGCTGAGGTAGCAGTTAAAACGATGCATTCCAGTCACATGCTTTCTAATCGAGATTCATTCCTTGAAGAAGCAGAAGTTATGATGAAGTTAAATCATCATTGTATAGTGAAGCTGATTGGGATATCTGAAGACTCTAAAGGCAGTCTGATGGTATCTTTACTTTATTGACATTCATCCACTTAATTAAGTATAAATCCTTATATATAGCATTTTCAACCTTTTCCAAATCAAATTCAACCTTTTCCAAGTCAAATTCAACCTTTTCCATTTCAAATTCAACTTTCGAATTTTTGTAAATTTTCAATTTTTTTCGAAATAAAGGCCACTTGCTATATTATCGAAGGCATAGCTTTAGTATTTATTTATTGTAATGATAATATTACATAGTTTTTGAATATTGGCGCGAAGGTGGTGACGTCACAAACTACTGACAGGAATGACAGATGGTGGGGGAAGCAAGTCCCATAGGTTGAGCCAGCCGGCTAGGGAAGAGGATCGGTGAGGAAAAATGTAAGAACAAGTAGTGAGTGTCAACAAGAGAAAGTTGTAGAAGTTCGATACGATAAAGAGGAAGATTCGCCGCAGAACAGGGTGAGCGAAATATAAATGGACAGTTCGAAAGCGCGCCAAAATTAGACCCCGACAAACAATGGAAATTCATAAATATGTTGTATAAAATTATGTATGCCTTTGTATTATATATTTGAGGAATGTGTGTTTGTTGTCTAAACCCAACCTGGGAATTAATTAATGTGTAAAATAAATATTATTTGATTAAGAAACGTTTTGTTTACTTCTCGAAGGGAATGTAACCTTACAATATCAATTTATTTTTACTTTTTAGATTTTTTTAGGTAGAATATTTCAATGTCATGTTCAGTTTTTTTCAAGTCAAATTCAACCTTTTCCATTTCAAATTAAACCTTTTCCAATTCAAATTCAACCTTTTCTATTTCAAAATAAAGTTTTTATTTTTTTCAAAATAAGGGCCATTTTCCAATATGAGGGTCTATTATGGTCTACATTTTACCCAAGACTTTTACCACATCATTACGATTTCCGAAACCTGGCTCAAGTCCTACATCTCTTCCTCTTCAGTCTCCCTTCCTAACAACACCCTAATCCGCCACAATCGGGACAGCTGGACTAACGGGCGTGTAGCCATGTACTTTCATGAAAGCCTAAAGGCCCGAATTCTCCATTGTTCTTCTCTATCCAATCAGCCACAAGTCGAGTTCCTGATCGTCGAGATCTCTTGTAACACTTCTCCTCTCCTCTATTCCGTAGTATATCGTCCTCCTCTTGTTCCATTTGATCCGTCTTCCGAAACTTCCCTCTTCACCTTTGTTCCTCTTTATCCCAAAATTATCATTTCCGGTGACTTAAACACTAATTTTCTTTCGGGCTCCAGCGATAAATCATACCTAGAAAACCTTTTTTTCTCTTTTTATTGTTTCTTTTTCTGCTACTCATCACACCACAAGGTCCGACACTTGGTTGGACCTGTACATTATTGACTCCGCTCAAAACTTCCTTTCCTCTTCCCAATTACCAGTTTCCTTTTTATCGTCCCATGATCTAATCCAAATATTCAAACTCCAACCTTCCCTGGAATCCCTAGATTGGAATAGAATATATTCATGTTCCTCAATCGATTCCTTGGTTGAAATTCTCACCTCCAATCTTATTAACATCCTTGATGACTATGCCCCTCTCAAAACCTCCATCTTTTGTCACCTTCCTTCTCCATGGATAATCACCACTACTCCAAAGTATGAAAGATTTTTATTTTTGGTGGAGGTTTGATTCCATACATTTAATTAAATGGATTATGTTGTTATGTTTCAGATTCAAGAACTAGTTCCCCTTGGGTCTATGCTAACATTTATATTAAGACATCCTGATCAAGTTAACGTAGATTATGAACTTCCTGTTTGGGCTTCTCAGATTGCCTGTGGTATGTTTATAAATATTATTAAGAACTTATTAAAATTAATTTTCTTTTCATATTTTTTAAGTTTGGTGCCATTTTATTTAATAGGTTTTAATTACATAAATTGTAATTATTCTATATTATTTTTCTATTTAAAACTTAGTACATAACATTATATTTTTTGATTATTTTAGGTTAAAATTAATGTAAATTACCTTCTTATCATGCATCATTTCATAAAAAAATTTTAATATATCATTATTATAAAATTTGTCTGGTGATCCATCCTCGATTTCAGGGAATTTTGTTGTGATTTCAAAAAGTTATATATATAAATAATTAAATATGTTATTTCTAAGAAAAGAAAGAAGGAATATAATTTGATCTTGAAATATGTACCTAGTTTTTAGAAGACAAGTTTGACGTTCCTTTACTATCCGTTCATTGAAGAGTGGGGATGGAGGGTTTAGAATTCAATTGTTTTTTCTATTTCATGAAACATTGGAAAATAAATAAATACAATAAAAACGTATTTTATTGGTAATCTAAAGCCTATTAAATATTAAGATAAAACCTATTAAATAAAAGCATTATTAAATTAATTTTTACTGTGATTCTCCCAAGATTTTTCATACATTTTACTGGTATAAAACAGTAATTAATTGTAAACATATTTTCATTCTGAAGAAGATACCTATATTTGTGCATTTCTTAATTTTAACAAGATAACTTATAGATTGGTGTATACATTATTCTTTACATACAATTTGTTTTTTATGTGAAATCTGTGCAGGAATGCAGTATCTTGAGACGAACAAAATAGTTCATAGAGATCTTGCTGCCAGAAATATTCTTCTAGCTACTAGACATCAAGCCAAAATAAGTGATTTTGGTTTATCTAGAAACTTAAGTGATAATAAAGAATATTATATGGCCACTAAAGGTGGAAGATGGCCTGTTAAATGGTAAGTATAACTCTTTATATAATGCTTATCTATTCATTAACACAACAAAATATAAAATCTGAAAATATTATAATTGAAATATTCTGATACTTGACATTTATTAAGCAACTACCTGCGAGATAGATTTAGATATCCTTGGATTTTTCTAAGAAATGTTTTCTCTGTTAGGATTGTGAAAATGCTTCAGTATTAAAATAATACCACAAGTTAACTGTTTGAAATTGCCCCCAAAGATTTTAATTCCTCCTCCTTCTCCTTTAACATACTTGTCTGCATATCTGTTACATAGTTATGTATTTTTTTGTTTCTTTATATCTGAGAAATATTGTAAAATCTTATTTGTTGGGTTCCCGATTAGAAAATTAGCCTAAAAGCACCAGTTGCTGACCATATACCAATACCTGACATCCTCCTCACGAAATGGGAATAATACGATTTCAAAGGGTTGGATCTGGGTGCGACAACATCCATACTTGGCTATGCGGATGATCTGGTTCTGTTAAGCGAAGACACGGAAACTATAAAACTAAATACGACAACGTTAATGAAAGCCAGTAAAGAACTAGGGCTCGAAATAAACACGGATAAGACAAAATATATGGTTAGCTGCAAAAATGGCGATATTGCTGGTGATATCGATATAGAAGGTAATATGTTTGAACAGGTAGAGAAGTTTAGGTATCTAGGGTCTATGATAACTAGAAAAAACGAAATTGAAGAGGAGATTAAGGTTAGGCTGAAGGCGGGAAATGCTTGTTATTTTTCTGTGACAAAACTACTTAGCTCGCGCCTCTTGTCCCGGAATTTAAAAACTAGAATCTATAAAACCATTATCTTACCTACAGTTCTTTATGGATGCGAAACGTGGCCGCTTACATTAAGGGATGAGCAACGTCTTAAGGTTTTTGAAAATAAAGTATTGCGTAGAATATTCGGACCGAAGAAGGATGAGTTAACCGGAGAGTTCAGACAGTTACACAACGCCGAATTGCGTGAACTATATCCGGTTAATATAATTGAAGTGATTACATCGCGTCGAATCAAATGAGCTTGTAAAATTGTTAGGCTTAGTAACGAAAGAATTCCTAAAAGGGTAATATTTGCTGTACCGAATGGTAAACGTCCAAGGGGAAGACTGAGGCGAAGGTGGGAAGATTGCGTTAAAGCCGATCTCAAAGGACTTTGTTTGTATGGCGAACAGTGGAGGGAGGTGTGTAATAAGTGATTGCTGTTGTCGGCATCGAACCTTCGGGTTCGCTAAGACTTTTATTATTATTATTAGATATAGTATGGATGTTTTATGAGTTTGAAATAATGTGCCTGGGTCAGAGGAGAAGTAGTTTTATATGATGATTACAAGAAAAATATAATAACATTTTTATTTAAAATTTTATTGGTTAATGTTGAAAGAATTTCGATCACTTCTACCAGGTAAGACTTTGCTCTGTCTCGTGCAGGCAAAAGTTTTGTTTTTAATTTTGTTATGGGCACAGGTTCATTAAAATGGATATTGAGCCATTCTGATAATCTTATGAACCATTCAGGTCCATGCCACCACAATCGGTTATCTATCTTGAGAAGATACATCCACTGGATTGTCATTAGATGAAACGTGATTTCTTCCCCGCAGAAATTTCTAAAATTTGAAATACTCTGTTTGCCACAAAGGTTATTACAGTATATTAATAATAGTGCGGCACACAGTTCCAATGTAGGAATTTTTGTAATGTTTTGAGTAGTGCCAAAAGTGTTTTAGAAACAATCAGCTACTGGTGGATTTATCCTAAATGATGTTCATTTTTTTTAATTTTTTCTTCTCCCCTAGGTTGTTATCAATGCAGACTTAATACAGGGTAGATTTTACCTCTTCTTAGAATTTATTGGGTGTTGTAGTAATATTTATTGAATTTAAAAATTTTTTTTGGAGTGTTTTTTTCCTGTTGGCGTAATGCGTCTGTAATAGACCCTGTAGATCTTTTGCCAGCTTAACAAGCCTGCTCCATCTCTGCCTGGCTTGGTCTATATCTTTCCATTTATCTGCATGCAGCTCTGTTGCATCTTTGTTGATTCTATCTATGCATCTGCTTTTTGGCCTTCCACGTGATGTTTTGCCTTCTATTGAGGTATTCATTCTTACGTAGAGGCTACAGATGGATTGCTATTTTTAATCATGATTTCATATTATGTTTATTAAAAGTCATAATTTTATTCTCAAATTTTTATTATTTTATTTATATTTGATTTCAGGTATTCTCCGGAATCATATAATTATGGAAAATTCAGCTCTGCCAGTGATGTATGGAGTTTTGGAGTAACCCTTTGGGAAATGTATTCCTACGGCCAGCAGCCATTTGGAGAAATGAGAGGGGCTGAGGTAAGTTTATTTTTATTAATGTATCTCATTACTGTTCTGTTTCTTAATTGTTGTGGTATCTAAGTGACTGGTTCCAATTTACTATAATTTGTTTTAGGTGATTGAAGAAATAAATGATGGAAACAGGCTTGAAAAACCGGATGATTGTCCGGTTCCGGTGTACCAAATGATGGAAAGGTGTTGGGAATATGATCAAAATCGCAGGCCATCATTTTCTGAATTATACGACTTTTTTGCTTCTCTCACTAATTATGAGAATGTGAGAGACCTGGTGCCAAAAACAGATATAAGTTAATTTATTCGTTAAGCTTATTTTATCTTCTACAAGGAATAATGTTGTAATATTTTTATTTTTTATACTTTGCTATGGAGTCTTGTTATAATATTTGTACAGGATTTAGCTATACTTGATAGTATATTTTCATATTTTATTAAAAACGTTTAGAGGTGAAAGCAGTTTAGATATTTTTAGATCTTTAAGTATAGTTTAATTTAGTGAAAATTTAAAATCAATCATTGCTCTATTGTTTTAAAATTATTAACTTTTTAAACGTAATGAGAACCTTTTTAATTTTTATAGTGTATCTTTTTATTAAAGTTTCCTTTATTAAACATTTTGAACTACAAAACTATTTATTCTATGAATGACTAAAATAATGTTATTTTACTTTACCTCAACTTTTTATTTTGTAAATTATCTTTATTCCTTACTTTTTTGTTTTAAAAGCAAATGTTGAGATAGATACATATTAGCCATATGAACTGGTCTGAGTTTTGTTTCGGCCGACTCTTGTGATACAGCTTTCAATTTTTTTTTTATATAAACAGATACTTTACATCTAAATGTCTTATATTTATTGCTTTAATCAGCATTTGTATTATAGGCATATTTATATTATATTGTATGAAGTTGATGCTTTTTCCAAATATTTTTCTATAGCAGTAATCTATAAGTTTTAATATGGATAGCATTATTTATTTCTTCATATATAGTTTACTAGTATTCATAACATTCCCATTTGTATCTAGTTATTCTTAATTGACTTAGAAATAAAAAATCACATAAAGGAAAATCCTCTCCTTTGTTTTTTTTATATACCAAATAAGTACAAGAATATTTTATACAGATAATATAAAATAGAAGCCTGGTGCACAAGATCTTGTTTTTGAATTTACAGAGCATAAAGTTTTTTGTTTCAAACTGTATTTTTATATACTATGCTAACGACCACAATACAGTTGCTCTGGAGTTTATCCATTTTTTGCATCTAAATGCATTGTTTTATGCCTTTTCATTAAAAATTTTGATGTGTGCACACAGCCTTCTTAATATAGTCATGTAAGCTGGCCAAAAATTGTAGATAAATTTGTACATACTGTTTGTTATTTTGCCACATGAATTTTAAAAATTATAAATGTGGTGCTTTTTAATTTTAGTTTTGTGATATTGTGCTCAATATTGCCATAATTAGTTTTAAAAATGTAAATATCTATTTTAGAATGAAACAGGGCTCGTGATACTGCATTTAATGTGAATAATATTTTGTAATTCTTTTTCAAATAAGTTTTTTTCTATGTTTTATTATATATTTTCATTAAAATATGACTTTAGACGACAATATTTATATTATAAGTAAATTCATAATTGTCCCATAAGATTTGTTTACATATATTTTCATTTTTAAATTTTATATAATGTTAGTAATTAAAATCAATTAATAGATTATTATATATATTTTAGTTTAAATTTATATGGTATGTTATAGGATGTTATGTTCTAAAAATTTTAAAATGTCATTAAAAATGCCATGTTTAATATTTTTATAAATTTTATATTGTTATCTACTTGATAACTTTTGAATATAAACAATTATATTTTCGTAGGTTATAATTGTTCTTATAAATTTTAATTAATGAATTGCATTTAAACATAATTTTTATCAAGATGTATATGGTATTTATTAGGTTTTAGCTAGTTGTGTAAATGATTCAGTATTTAAATAAATATGAAATGTTATGATTTATTCTAAGGTATTTAATGAAGACATGTTAATTTTATTTCAAATGTTTTTGATTACATTGAAATTTGATTCATTTGAAGGAAAAGATGTTTTTTTTTTTACATTATTTTTGATCCTTAAATCCTCTTTAATGTACTGGGTTAGGCCGGCTAATAGTTGTTATAAAAAAAATATTACATGAGTTTAACTTACTATAAATTATTTTGTTTTATAAAATCGACTTACAAGAACTAAAATTCTTCAATAAATTAAACTTTTTCCTGATATCTTGAGAAGATGAAAAGCATAATTTTGAAAAAAAAATATATATTGGGGAGAAATTATACTTAATTAGTATAGATAGTCCAGTCAACAAAGGAGTTATAAAGAGTGTGAGCAGAGACCTAAGCGATTCTTTCAGAAACTTGTTCAGGGTGCTTAGCGTATAAATATATCAAAAGTCCTGACGTCTAGGAAGGTCTTCTACCTCAGTACTCATAAATGGCATAATTATAGGGCTATAATAACAATTTGGTATAACTTTTTTTCATTTCAATAACAATATGTGTAGCCACACTTTAAATCCAGTTATTTAAGTATGCAAAAAATATAAAAATCTTTTTAATTGATTTTTTTTTCTCTTTATTTAGTAACTGGATTTAAAATGTGTTTACACATATTATTAGACGAACAAACAAAAGTTATACCAAAAACATTATTAAAGCTCTATAACTATGAGTACTGAAGTAAGTGCTTACAGAAGAACCGCTTTTTTGGCCGATTATGGGCATTTTCTAATGAACTGTTTCAAATATTTTAAAAATTAATTGCTGATATAGAAAGATAAATGTATAGTCCTGATGTTTTATTTCAAGGTATTTTTCGTTATTGTGGCCATTTATTTACAAACAATGCTTGATTTTCAACATTAATTTGAATAAATTTACTTTACCAGTGTTTTTATTGTTTAAACCAATTATTTTGTAATATTTTTTAATGTTTTATTATTTTGTAATTATTCAGCTTTAATAAAATGCCAATTATGATGAAATTAAACCAAATGCTGAATCTTAGTGACCGAAAAAATAACTCAAGTCAAATATGTCAATCCGCTATTTTGTGACAGTATATTAACTTTTTTTGGGGACTATTGGTTTTTTTTTTTTAATTAATAGTTGCAAAGAACAAACAATATGAAATTTATAGGGATATGGGGGAGTGTACGGTAAGGGGAGGTCTGGCCTACCGTTTACCACTACTGAGGGTGAAGATGCTATGAACAATCCTTGCAAAGATCCAGACGCCTAAAATTAATGAAAACATGAATCCATCTAAATTCGCGAGTGCAATATTAATAAGTTATTGAAAATAATGATAATGAGGTTTATAATTTCATGTACTTAATATAACAAAATATAATAAAATTATCGTGAGACTTTTATTATCTGTAAAATACAACATTAAATTGTTCAATTAACACAATTTTTTCTGATTTATTTAATAATTATAATAAAAGTGTCGCCACACATATCATTAGACACCCAAACAAAAATTATGTGTCAAGAATATGACTAAAACCAATTTTTCTGAAAATGACATTTTATAAAATATTTTAAAATAGCTGTAATTGTAGACTGATTGGAGATTAATTTGCATATGTATGTGTATATATTCTAACAGAGAATTTAAGTCTTTAAAACTTCTAAATGAATTTGTTTATCTGATGAATATGAATATCTTAGACAATATATGAAGAAATGTTTGATGAAAAATGTGAGGCAAAATGAATTTTTTGGAAAATTTCATCTTTTTCCGAGCATGTAGCTCAAAAACGGTTTAGAATTCTGATAAAACCTACACAACAAAAGTTTTATATAATTTTATAAAATTTAATTTACTATACAAAAGAAAATATTTTCCCTGTGATGGACAGTTTTCGAGATATAAGCGGAAATCCAAAAATTGTGACCTTTCCTCCCTCCCCCTCTTCTCCCCTGGCTCACCACCTAGACGTCAGGACTTTTGACATGTTTATACCTTAAGCACCCTGAACAAGTTTCTAAAAGGATCGCTTAGGTCCCTGCTCATGCTCTCTATACCCCCTTTTCGGGCATTCATTGACTGGACTAAGAACAGACCGTTCTGCCTAAGCAATCAAAATAATAAATATAGGTGTATTGTCATATTTTACTTCTATTACTCTTATTTCATGTCTTTGTTAACAAACATGTGGAAATAATACATATATTTTACTTCTTTAGCTTGCATTGCCTTCATGTAAAAAATATTACTTCTATTACTAGAAATGAACTACTGCTAACCTAACCCATCATTAACAGTATTTATTTATTCCAATTATCATTTGCGTGTAATTTGAGATTCGGTGAGTTCTCTATTTATTCAATTATTTGATGTGAGATTCCTATGTATACATAACTATTTGTATGATTTGTACAGACAACTACTTATTGAAATATTTCAATGTATTATGCTTTTATAATAATAAGAAAAAATTGAATATCACATCTCATGGCTTAATAATTTTTTAATCACAACTAGTGATAAAACAAAATCAATTAATAAAAAGACGATTAGCAGGTGTAAGTTGGTTTTCATTTGGTTTAATACATTCCAAATCCATAACTGCAGTAACATTTTTTTTTTATGAAGCTAATCTTAATGAACATGTTCCTTCATTTTATTTTATTCTAGACTTTATTTTTCAATACAAAATCTTTTTTTTAATATACATCAACTTAATCAAATAAGAAAGAATATACAGGATGTAGTGGGAAAAAGAAGACAAATGGCATGAAAATGTTTAAAGGATAATATTGAATGAGCTATAAAAATGGTATTTTGAGTGGGAGGCTGAGGGTAGGAGAAGAGGAAGGCCTCCTGTCAGGTGGAGAGATGTTGAGAGTTTCGCAGGCTGAGGGACTGATGGAAGCGGAAGCCATTAGCCAACAGGCAGAAATTTGGCTGTATATAAAAATATATGTATATATATATAAATTTAATTAGCTAATTTCTCTGTAGATCTTTTTAATAAGTATGATGCCACTTTACTCACTGCATCTTTTTCGCATATAAATACTTCTATGCTATTTATTCTATACTTAACAAATTACCTAATAAAATCAATATTTTTAGTCTTGCAGATACCATATTATGATATTTTATTTTTTTCTAACAAATCTGCTTACTTTATAAATAGCAAAATTTTAAGTTGTGGTGTGATGTATTTTTTTTTTCTGAACCTAGATTATCTTAATTATTGAAGATAGATAATTTTTATTTTAATGAAAAATAACATGTATACTGACTGTTAGTCGTGTGCTTGACAAGTGTGGTTTAAATTATAAAAGATGAAAACAAAATTATCGTTATTTTTTATCAACTATCTTTTGCTCACTGCAAGCTGTAAATTAAATAAAATCCAAATATGTTTGATAAGTTTTAAGTTTATTGAAATAATTAATGTTATTTCTATAATTGAAAATGTATATATTTTTAACTGAAATGTCATCTTAATCAAGAATGTAAAATAAATACTATAAATGGTCTTTTACCCTTTTCAAACATATTTAAATAAATGTTACAAATAAAGTTTTAAGTTAGCCCTGATTTTTTTTTTTTTTGGCATAGCCTAGGAAATATAATTGCTTTCTAATAAAAAAATATACTTGTGGAAACATCTTTTCTTGAAAACTCCTTGCTAGTACAGTCCTATAATTTATGTAAATGGACTATATATTTAACCTCTACCACTACAATCCAACCCAGGGAAGGTTGGTTCAGTACTTTGCTAGGAAGTACTATGCCAAGGCCAATGATTATGCAGAGAGGTGAGTGGGCTGAGGATCACACTTAATAGCCAGGTTTTTCCTCTTATTTAATTATTTAATTAAGACTATCCACATAATAAAGGCTGGATGTTCCCCAGGAAGGTCTTATCCCCAGATCGATCCTTGGGTCCTAAGGCATAGGAAGTCAGAGGCTTAATCACTGAGCTACCCTGCTCTCTATATATTTTCTAATAATAAAACCAATTTAAAAGCTAACAGTTAAGTGAGAAACAATGACAATTTTTTTTTAATTCTGGCTAGATCTTTGATGCTCTCTTAGATAATTAGAATTACTTCACCATGGTCAAAATCAAAAAGTACCATCTCAAACGAAGAGAAGAATAGTTGGGATGATCAGTCAAATAAGAAGGCAAAAATAAATGATAATATTTATTTTGACTTTTGCCAACGTTTCGACCTGAACTTCAGGTCGAAACATCGAGCAAACGCCAAAATTAATATTAACATATATTATTGCCTTCTTATTTGACTGATCACCCCAACTGTTCTTCTCTTCATTATTCACGACAGTCAACCATTTACCCACAATTATGAATACCATCTAAAACCTTTTTATTTTTTATTTTAGATATATATTTTACATGTTTTGTTTTTCAAAGTTCTGAAGCTGAATGCTGACTCCAAAAATTGTATTCTGTATTGGGGATATCAGAAATAAAATTATAAGACACATTAGTAATGCTACCTAGTGTCAATTTTGGAAGCTAATTTAGTTAAAATAAATGCCGTAAGATAGCAGCACTAACGTGAATCTCAAAATTTTCAAGCTAGCATTGGCAGTGCC